GCTGGAGAGTCTGGTAAATTCCCCTGGGGTCGTACTTCTTGGCAATCTTCTTCAACTGAGCCTTGTTGGCAGCACCGTATCCACTGATAGGATCCTGGAACATGCCGGCGTAGTTCATATAGACGTACTCATTGAAGAGGCCACGGACCTTAGCCTCAGCAAGGACCTTCTCGATGAAGCTGTTGACAAATGCGTAGACAATCTGGTCGTCGGACGTCTCAGTCCACCAGAAGGCAACGTGCAAAATGTGAACAGGGCCAGGGGAGTCAGCGAGTCCGAGAGGGTTGCCGCCGAAGTTCTTCATGTTCTTCAACATGGGCTCGGTGACGGCCTGGTAGATGAGCACGGGCTGGCCGCCGGCAACATTGGCCATCTGGGGAGACATCGAGAAGAAGAGCTCCACGACCCAGTTGGCGAATTTCTCGTCGAGAGCCGCGCTGATGGGCCAGTACACCTCGCGAAGGTGGTAGGGGTTTTCGGTCTCGAGGTACTTGACGTACTCAACCAGGGTCTTGGTGCTGGATGTGTCGGAAATGGCCGGAATGCTTCTGTATTGCTTGTAGATCTCGGGGTTGGAGTCATTCTTTACGTAGGTCAGCTCGGCAGTGGCAAGGTTCATTCCTTGGGTCGAGAGGAAGGCGACGTATTGCTGGGCGTTGGGGTCAACAGTAGCATTGTTGATCACGTTAACCCAAGCGTTGATGACCTCGGGGAACTCGGTCTGGAGGAAGATTCTGGCACCACCGTACAACACTGGGGAGGGGATGGTGTACAGATTGTACTTGGTGACAAGACCGAAGTTGTTACCGCCACCGCGCAGAGCCCAGTAGAGGTCAGGGAAGGAAGTTGCACTCGCAGTTACAATCAAACCACTAGCGGTAACGACCTACATGGGAATTTTTAGTATCCATTCTCTGGAGGCTATGACGGGTGTAGAATCTTACCTCAAAGCTCTGAACATTGTCGCAAGACCATCCGTGCAGGTTGGAGTGGTAGGAGATTCCACCACCCAAAACGAAACCACCAACACCGATGCTAGAGGCGCGACCTCCAACAACAGCCAAGCCATAGGGCTCGAGGGCAGAGTAGGTAGAGAGCCAGTTATTTCCAGGACCAATGGAAGCGACCGTCTTGTCCGCGTTAAGGGTGACGGCGTCCATATCCTTGAACCAAATGCTGATTCCACCAGGGGCGCTGGAAGCACCGGTAAAGGCAGCATGGCCGCCACTGCGAGCAGCAAACTCGCAACCAGTCAAACGGGAAAGCAAAACTGCAGTGCTGACCTCCGTGTTCTTGGTAGGGCGGAAAACGCAGTGAGGCTGGACCTCTTCCTGCTGCACGGACCAGAATGAGCCAGTGAAGGTGTTGTACCCATCAGAATTCTGGGCAGAGACTTTAGAGCCAAAGAGGAAGCTCAAGCTTGCGCACTAGAATCTGGAATCAGCAATTGCTCAAAGCAGGCTTTGCTATTGATGCCAATTTTTCACTTACGGCGGCTGCACAGGCCCTCTCGGTTGACCGTGCCTGAAGGCCGGTGTATGACTCCAGTGCAGGGATTTCCGACACATCCACGCCGAGATCCTCCAATGCGGCGGTGACGTTGAAATTCTCGGCTTCAATAACCGGGTTGGTCACAGCGGCGTGGGCCAGGGTCAGCCCGCCAATCGCGGATAACCCGCCAATGAGGGTGGAGAGATACATGATCCAAAAGCTAGACAAGCAACCAAAACACAGTAAACAAATGCGAGGTCCAGACAAATGCAAAGACTCAAGGAGAAAAAAAGGAGACCTAAGAGAAGGAAAATTACTGTCTTTAAACTTCCTCGGAGGTTAGCTGACCAAAGGCTCTAGTCCGATGAGCTTACGGGGATAGTCCCTGGTGTCGGTCACTAGTTGTAATTAAAGGGGTCGTATAATTGAAGTATATTATGGTATTGACTGCATTCCAGGCCCTTCAAGGTGGTGTTCGCTTTCGTAAACGCGTAAAACAATTTCGCTTCCAAATCTAAGCGAACCGGCGCAGCCCGAAAGATGAAGCTAGTCCTGTAACTTATAACAATGGACTTGTAATTCTGCCTTCTAGACTCGGCGGCGCTAGCGCTTGTTCGCTCCCCCCATATTATTCTTAGATAAACTTATCCCTTTCGGCTGAAAACTCTCTCTTTTCCTCGAGTCGCAAGCCAGATATAATCTCGAAAAAGGGGGTGTATGATGAATTTCCTAAGCGAGCACGCTATGCAGAACGCCACGCAAAAGCCGACGTTCCGGAGGTCCGTGGCTTATGCAGGCGTCAGTTTAGTCTGAGACAAGACCCCAAAACTCAATTGGCATTACCCTGCGCAGCCTTCCACCGGCATTCACCAAATCTGCCGTGATTTTATTTTTTGGGGGGTTTATTTCCTTTAAAGATCCAGATATCATTTCTATGGATAGTATGCTGGATAATTTCTTGAGCCCTAAATATATATCTATTTTCCAATATCTCTCCATCCATGGATGTGCGCCGCGGCCCGTCGTCGGCTCCGTGGAACATTGTAATCACAACCATGGAAGAGCCGGAGCTTACGGGCGGGTCATTTACCCCACTGATACTATATATCTCTTCGGCGATTGGTCCAGGACTGGTGGGGCATGCATCTTCAATCATTTCTACAGTGACATTCGAAACGAATGAGTAGATTGCCCCTCGTGGAAGTTTTACAATCCCTGCTTACCTTAAAATATTGAACAATGGGCCTTGTGGCTGCAGGATCCCATGTGCGTATCTTAAACTAGAGATTAATGGGCTTCCATGTGGTGGATATTCTGGTAAGATAGCTTTATATGGATGACAGTGGCCCCACGCGGTTCCTGGTGTCTTCCTAAAATCTAGTCTGACAAGTAGGGATGGGAGATGCTACTGGCACCTTTGGGCATGGTACCATCAAAGGTACTGGCATTGCCTTGATTATACTCACCTCGCTGGTTATAGGCATTCGTTTTGCTGGTTCCATTCGAAGTTTCAAGGATCTGAAGGCTGAGGACTACCTTCTGATTGTGGCTTACATATTCTTCTTGGAACTGAGCATTCTCTACATCTACATTTCCCCCGTCATTTTACGGCTAGCAGAAGTCGGTGCCGGAAAGATTCCCCCATATGCCACCATCTCAGACGACGGACTCAAATTACAGACTGTCTTCTTCGTCACGACATCTTCGCTATGGGTCTGCTTGTGGATGATCAAGTTTTCACTCTTGGCGATGTATAAGAGGTTGTTGGTCGGGAAAAAATACATCATCGCCTGGTGGGTTATTATGGGATCTTGTGTCCTGGTATGGATTTCCAGCCTGAGTGTGAGTCTTCAAATAACTAACGAAATTCATCTCAGTTTATTATTGGCTGCATTCTCTCGTCGTGGCTCTCATGCTCGAGCTTCCACGCCTGGTTTACCGCAGGCAAATGCAGCAGCCCACGCGACCAGCGGGCGGCTGTCATCAGCTTATACTACTCATATGCGGTAGATATAATCACTGATCTAGCAAGTACGTATTGCGCCCCTTGCTCCTTGAAGAGCACTGATCTAATATCTCACCAAGTCATGATCCTTCCCATCCGCCTTATCTGGAACCTGCAGATGAAACCCCGACAAAAACTGAGCATTGGCGGACTATTCTGCTTTGGCTGGGTTTGCATCATTATATCCACCATCCGTGTCGTTCAACTGGGTGAGACTGACAACGGCGTCCCCGCTCCATCATGGCTAGCGCTATGGGGAACCATCGAGGCGTCGATCGGTATGCTTATATTTCCCACTTTCTCCATTTCCAAATTGAACCATTTTACTCACCCCCATTTTCTTAGCGGTCATGATCGGTTGTTGCCCCGGCCTCTATCGCGTGGTTAAGACAGCCATCGCGCCCTCCAAGACATCATATCCGTACGACTCATACAACTTACGGGGCCGTGGAAACAGTGGTATGCCATCGCAACGATCGGGTGCATACGGGGGGGATATTGCTTTGAATAGCTTTAGGGGGAAGGAAGAGTCATATCAATCGGCCAGTGCATACCGTTCTACCAGTCCGTCAAGTAGTCAGGAGAAATTGGCACATCCGAGTGACAGGGGGAATATTATGGTTAATTATGGAGTTGCGGTGACGGTAGAGGATCGGCCGAGTGATTATGCCCGGACGGCACGTTTTGCATAGCAAGACAAATGCATTTCAAATAAAGTATCTATAGAATTAAATAAACCCATCACGAAAGGGGGAGATGAAATTTAATATACGAGAGTGATGTATAGCTAACATGATGTTCCTATATCCAACGCTGTCGCTCACTACAGATGATGCGTGTGCGGGTGCAAGTGGGATAATGAAAGGGGAAGGCTATGCGGCCATCAAAATACTTACCTACCTAGGGAGCCAAGGAAGCTACATAATACTACGGAGTACAAGCTCCAGATTAAGGTCCCGACTCCTTAAAATTTGGGTGCATATTCTAGCTTAGACGGTGCCAAGTCACCAAGATCAACCAAAAGTGGGTGCGACGTCTAAGCGCATCTTATTGATAGGGGGAAGAGGGATATGCCTGGGAAACTAGCTGGCTGTTGTACTATTCTCCAGTCAAGCCCGTCGAATCGGTGGGTAGGACTTGCCCGTTTGCTCCGTGTTCTACATCCACCTGGTTGACAACCCATCTTCCACGCCAAGTGAGATGGGGCTAAGTTTACGTGCTCTTCTCATGAAATCCCATCTGGGTTCAAAAGAGCAAACGGGGGGGCTCCCAGGTCGCATCGTGTAGACCCGTGTCACTTTCCACCTGCACGAGCTGCTCCCCCAAGTATTGTTCCTTGATGGTTGCCCAGTCTTGTGGCGTTTCCCTCCACCCTCCCTTGTCATAGTATGCATCATCGCCATGCCGAAGAACGATCGCTCACTCCTTAGCATATCCGGTGTCCCGACGACAGGGCCGAGACAAAGGGTAGTTTCACTGACCGAGATAGCTTTCATTTGCTTCTCTACAGATAGTGTCGCATCCACCAGGGGACGTCGTCCTCGGTGACCTCGAATTCTTCATCCGAGAGATGTGCACGGGCGTCTAGATACCTCTCCCGTCTAGACAGGGAGCCGTGCGATAGCTCAAAGTATTGCAGAAGGCAAAATCAACGGTGGAGGAGGATTATTGGAGGTTCGTCGAACCGTAGATTTGGTCGAAGAAGTGGATAGGGCGGGACGTCATCTTCCTCCAGAATATGATCTGGGATCCAAAATCGAGGCGGCAAGCTGCGAATGGCTACAATAGTTCGGGCCCTGTTCTGCTCGAGGGTGTTCGTTGCGTAAACTGTGACACTGTACCGCAGGATGACCAACACGCATGCCATCCAGCAAAGTTGGATGTAATCACTAGCGGGACCAACCTGATGGTTGGATCGCCGTACGCGGCTACCTTCAGTCGTACTCTGAAACATAAAACTGGGTAGAGCAGATAAAAGCTGCATGGCCTCGAGGCATGGCCACATGATAAGGAACCGCTGAAGGTCAATAATACTGTCAAATCCAAGATAGGCCGCTACCGTTCGTTCAGCTTGCTTTACGTTAAGGGGCTAGATATCAGCGAGATCTGAGGTTTCATCAAAGATGGCAGTTACTTGTTACTTACCAAGATTGGGACGACACCAAGGCGGCCGTTAAATGACATTTGTCTCTGAATATGAGGGGAAGCTGAAGCAATAATTCGGCCAGCGTAAAAGCAAGGTAGTAAGAGAAAAGCAAAGGAAGTCAATAGGAATGTCACTTTGGCAGAGGGATGGTTTATGTAGATGATAAGAAGTGAGATATATCCAAAAAGATAGATAAAGATAATGATAAATAGAGAGATAGCAAGAGAAAGGAAAACTCGAAGAGAAATTGTGATAACAAATATATAGCGTGTAGGTAGTGGCAAACTTAGCTATAGTATATTGAGACGCGAAGAGGATATTATATAAACCGGATTCCTACTTAGATCATAAGTTTGCCATAGTCCTAAGTAATATCATAAAATTAAGAAGATGATAATAGGAGGGAAAATTTTTAGGACTTCAACAAACTAGGGCGTAGCTCTCTCTATACATATACTGCGGATAAAGACAGAGGATATTTGACAGTGACATAGAGAAAACAAAATTTGACTGCATAGAATATAACAAACAAAGATTCAGGTCTGATACTAAAATATTCCACAGAGAGTCTATATTAAAATAAAGGAAACGTAGAATATTTTTTAGGGTTGAAGACCAATCCTTATTCAATACGCGATATGTGATTTTAAAGGACACTTAAGAGTATTTCTCGTTTGTTCATAATGGAACTTTTTATTCAATCCATTAGAACTAGTCTATGTTGTAGCACTAAGAAGTAACTAAGAGGGTTAGTACGGTGGTTAATGGGCAGTGACCGCAACCCTTATTCACCCCTGATCTAGTACCTAACAATTTACGTTCTATAACTCTCTCCGGTAAGATATCTTGTACATACGACCATAGGGTGTGGAAAACAGGGCTTCCCGTCCGCTCAGCCGTACTTAAGCCACACGCCGGTGAGTTAGTAGTTGGGTGGGTGACCACCAGCGAATCCTCACTGTTGTATGTTTTTATTTTTTTAATCCTTTGCAGCAACTCCGAGTGCTGAGAAGCGGAATAGGATGATAGCCGCCACTTAGATAAAGCTTAGGCCCATTCCCATTCCCAAGCTAAAGATATGAATTATAAGCTCATGGGCTTTTCTTTCACTATATGTCTAAGAGTGTTTCTGTAGGTGGAGATCTATTCATCAATTTAAATATACTATCTGTGCAAGATCAAATCAACGACGTGCCTATCTGCTATATTTTAAGTACATTGCGCAGCATTTGCCAATCAAGGGGCAAGGCCCCGGGGTGCCCGGAAAATCAGTCCACGGGTCGAGAAGACGCTGACGCACGGAAGCCGCACATCGACGATGGGGGTCCACCCCGCGGGAACTTTCAATGCGGACTGAATAGCGAGGAATGTGTTGAGTCTTTCAGCATGTCATAGTCCGCACGACCTATCGCCGAGAAACCACCTGTCCCGTCTTTGAACCCATCACAATATGCTGGGCCGTCAGAACATATGGGAACCCGTTCTGCTTCGCTTTTCCCATCCACTGCAGCATATCCATCGTCGGCAGCGACGCCCATGCGAGATCAGCGCTGATGGCTGCAGTGGAGCCTTTGATATCGAACCGTTCGTTGGGGGTGTATACCGTTGTCCTGAAGATAGGTGCATTGGTATCGACATCTTGATGTCCGTTCAGAATAGCTTCGGATGCTGTCGCGATGAACCCGGTTGTCTGACTGAGGTCCATATGACCGGATGCACCTTCAAGATCGGGCCGTGCACCAACGCGTTGGGCACATTCGATAAAGTCTTGTTGGACGATGGGGTCAACTGTGAACAGCGTGTCCGCCAATGCTGCGCTTGGCCTGTGGATGTGTACCGGTAGATTGAACTGCTGGGACAAATTGTGAAGGAACTTTTCCGCCGCCCATTTGCTGGACAAATAACCATCGTGGACATCCCTGGAAGCCAGCTTATCCACGTGGTCGGCGACAGCGCCAGACGAAAAGAAGTGAAGTGGTACGCAGCGCGGAAGACATAGACGGGCGATGTCATGGACGGACTGGAAGTTGACGGCTCTCAATGCCTGGTAGTCATCCCAGAAGGAACGATTGGCGGCACAGTGCACCACAATGTCGGCATTGTCGGACAGATAGCTGAGCTCATCGGAAGTTAGACCAAGATTGGTCTTGTCAAAGTTGCAGGAGATGGCGCTGACTTTCTCGGATTCTATGAGTAGCTTGGTCTTGTCACGGACGAGGCAGATGATTCTGGACACCCGGGGGCTTTCGAGAAGAGATGGGAGGAGATGGCGGCCGATATACCCGGTTGCGCCCGTCAGGACTACTGTCATTTCGTCATTTTGAGCAGGGGCCGTGGCAATCTGTGCGAAATCAGCCCACGAGGCTGGAACAGACGTTTCAGCCTCCCAGTCGATCACATTGGCACTCATGTCTTCCAGGAGGCGAGCCATATCACTCAATGTACTGGAGTTCATGAGATCAGCGAGTCGTGGCGAAAACGCAAACGTTTCCTTAAGGCGGCGTTGGAGTTTGACAAGCAGGAGCGAGTTTCCTCCAGTATGGAAGAAGTCTGTCCCTGCGGTGATGGTAGCACCGGATGCTGGCAAGATCTCTTTCCACAATTTGCAAAGTTTCTCTTCTTGGTCATTCAACCGACCTGGCTCAGAGGGGCCAGAAGTTGCAATGTCCGGCAGCGGGATATTGTAAAGGGCCTTGCGATCGGTCTTTCCATGCACGTTCATCGGAACACTGTCAATGGGAATGAATAGCGAGGGTCGCATGTAGTTGGGAAGGGGGAGTGCTGCTTTGATGGGTGTGAGAAGCTTGTCCCCGGACTCCTCACCCTGCGATGAAAGAACAACATAAGCTACTAAGAATTTGTCTGCCTCTTCGCCGTGGACGGCAACAACTGCCTGAGAGATCTTGCCGTCTGCAGTTTCCAAAATAGCATTCTCGACCTCTCCAAGCTCGATACGAATGCCACGAAGCTTGATTTGATCGTCACCGTTGATCCGACCCTCATAAATGAGAGTGCCGTCGTTGCTAAGACGTCCACGGTCACCGGTCCGGTATAGTCTGTTCCATCCTTGCTCCTTGGAGCGTTCGTCCTGCAAGTTGCTGGGGACAGGGATGAACTTCTCGTTTGTAAGCTCTTCTTGTCCGAGGTATCCCGCCGCGACGCCTGGTCCGCCGACGACAATCTCTCCGGGCACACCGATCGGGAGAGGTTGCAGAGCTTCATCTAAAATGTAGACAGAGTAGTTGGGAAGCAGGCTTCCAACAGGAATCGCCTGTTCGGTATCAGCGAGTGCGAAATCGACTTCGCCTTTGGTGAGTGCAATAGTGGCCTCCACAGGTCCATAGAAATCGAAGAGCTTGAGGCTACTCGAGTTCAAATCCCGGAAGCGTCGAACAATTGACTTTGGCAAGGCTTCGCCACCGACAAGAGCCCATTTCCAGGAAGAGCACTGAGAGAGAATATCCGACCCGGCGTCGAACCACATACCGTATTCGGTCGGGGTGGCCAGAGTATGGGTGACCCTCTCTTGTTTCATGATCTTGGTGATTTCATATGGGTCGCCGCGACTCTCGGATGAAACCACACAGAGGGTTCCCCCGTTGGCAAGAGCCGTGAAGATCTGATGCAAGGAAAAGTCAAAGCTGAGGGCGATTTGTTGGAGGACCACGACTGGGCCCACGTTCCAGGCTTTTTCGACTGCTTCGGCATGAGTCGCGAAGCAAGAATGGGGTAGTACAATACCCTTGGGAACACCCGTCGATCCACTGGTGAACAAAATAGCCGCAGTGGACTCTGCCCGGGCCCTGTTGGGTACTCTGGCATCGGAGTTCATATGAATATCGGAAACGTTGACGATAGCTGCCTCTGCCGCCCGAAGATCGGGCACCTGAGCCTCTGTCGAATTATCATGGAGGATAACCCGCGGGTGGGCAACATCAACAGCGCCCGCCAGTCGTTGCAGGCCATTCTTCAGATCGAGGGGAACATACGCTGCCCCAACACGGAAGATGGCGAGTAGCGAACAGATCCAATCGGCCCCTGGCTCTTGGAACACGGCAACACTGTCGCCATCAGAGACGTGGTCAAGGAGGGTGGCAGCGATGGTGTTAACCCGGTCTGCCATCGTGCTATAGGTGAGCGCCTGCCCATGTCCATCCTTGATGGCTATGAAGTCGGGGTGTGCCTGCACCATCGCATCGACGCGGTGTGCGACCGTCGCTGGCCATTCAGGGCTTAGTTCTGGGCCTATAGAGCGTTAGCCATGATCTCACTGATAAACTTCGGGTGTAACAGACCCTTTCCCAAAGTTAACGCATGATCAATATCCTTTCGCGACCACAGCGGAGGCGACACCAGATCGACCTGATCGATAGGCGCTTGTGTGGCTAGTTTAAGGAGATTGACAAAAGCACCAAGCAACAACTCAGCTACTTCCTTGGGATAGAGAGCCTCTTGCACTTTCAAAGCGACAAGCGACTCTCCAGCGACGGTATCAAGCACCTCCAGTTGCAAATCATACCCTGTGGCAGCATTGTTCCACGAAAGCTCGGCTTCGCAACCGACGAGACGCGACTTCTCGTGGTCGCCCAGCCGGTAGTCCATGAATATTTGGAAGATTGGGGTGTGCATGGCAGAACGGTCGATCCCGAGTTCATTCACAAGAACGTCGAACGGCACTCGAGAGTGCTCAAGAGCAGAATACACCTTGTTCCGGGTGAGTCTGACGCTTTCGTTGAGCTTGGATGAGTCCGTCCGGTTGAACTTGAGCGGTAGCAGATTCACGAGGCACCCAATCGTGTTGATCGAATCTTTATCCACTCGGTTCGAGTCCGCAATTCCGACAAAGAACTCATCCGTCTCGGGAAGCAGGCGGAAGACGAGCGCTTGGAGAATAGTCAGGTAGAAATGGAAGTTTGTGCTGTGAAGCTTGCGGGAAATTTGCTTGACCTTACTAGCTAACCCAGCTTCTAGGCGGACTGAGGCGCGATGTTGCCTAAATCAATGTCAGAAAATTATCAACTCGGGTACATTGTCAAACTCACCGGTAGGTATCCAGAATCTTCCGCTTTGAGTGGTGAGAGAACGAGAACGGCTCAATCGCACTCGGACTCTCACGGATGATATCACGGAAGAAATCGATGTCAGCCTGCAATAGGCCGGATTCATAATCTTCTTTCTGTTTCGCAGCAAACTCTCGGTATTGCGAGGCATCCACGAGTTGAGGAAGAGCTTTACCATTATACAGACTGTCGAGCTCGGAGAAAAGCATATGCATACTTTGTCCATCCAGAGCAATATGATGACAGCCGATAAGGAAGTAGTGGACGTTGTCGGAGAGGGTGAGTAGCATCACTCTGACAGCACCCCAGTCCTCCAAATCATATTCATGGTTCTGCAACATCTCTAGTTCGTCGGCTGCCTCGGCATCGGAGTATATGCGCTTGGTCTCCAATTTAAGCAGAGGGCGAGAGATAATCTCCTGCATTGGGGTGCCAGTGTCCCCGTCCGACCAGTGGTATCTAGTACGCAGACCCTCATGTCGCTGAACCACTGTGTCCAGAGCTCGCTCAAATTCCGCTAGTCGGAGCGAACCAGTCAAGCGCGCAGAAGCCGAGAAGTTAAATGGGTTCTTTTCCTTCAAGAAATGATGGAGGAACCAGAATCTGGCTTGCCCAAAGGACATAGGCTCGCTCATAAGACGGGAAGACTGGATTACCAAGTCTCGTTGCGATAGGGTCAACTTGTCTGTGCCCCCTAGTTGCTTGCATTCAAGAGGCACGTCTGGAGTCAGCAGCTCGATGGATGATGTCTCGCTCTCACTAGGAGTCTGCAATGGCGAGTAGCTAGATGCGGAGTCGCTAGGTGTCTCGGAAGTGGCGCGGTTGAAGATGGGCTTTCCAGATGGCGGTGAAGACAACGAGCTGGGGGTATCATTGCGACTCTGGGGCTCGTCTGCACAAGTGATAGACGCAGGTATTTTGGAGACCGCCAGTTGGAGGAGATCAGATATAGAGCTGCCGCCGAGGATCTTCAGAACCGGAATATCAACCTCGATCTCCTTCAAAAACCACGAGCGGACCATCACGGCCACAAGTGAGTCCAGTCCCTGCTCCACAAGAGGTGTTGAAAGATTGATGTCATCCTCGGCTGAGATCTGGAGAACCTTTTTGAGATTCACCAGGAAGGCATCTATTGTATAGTTAGTCAAGCTGTGAGTTGTTGTATTCAATCAGTGACTTACCTTCGACAATCTCATAGATGGCCTCTTCGCTTGTCACTCCCTGCAACTGTACCCTGATCTGGGCGGCAGCCCTGCTACCGCCAACGCTAGAGCCTTCTTCCGTGGTCAGGATGTAATGGGAGAATTTGATGTCTCTGGTATGGGTCTGGGGGATATCCAAGTCAGGCGACACGTAATTGACACCCGACACAACCTCAGCCTCATCAAGTGAGTCCGGGCGACCGGAGAGAATAGCCTCTGCAAAGAGTGTGCAGAAGTCCTGCTCTGAGACATTATTGTAGCCGAGTGTAGTGAAATACTCAAAGTCAAAGTTGGACTCTTGGGCGGCGTAGCCAATACCATGAACAGCCGGGATACCCATAGCGGAGCCAGGGACACCTCTCTTCTTGCGCTGGTACATGAGGGAGGTCATGAACGTGTTTGCCGCCGAGTAGTTGCTCTGTCCGCTGAAGCCGATGGCTGCGGTGATGGAGGATGTGACGATGAAGAAATCCAGTGGGGTGTCATAAAATAGTTCATCCAAGAGTTTGGTGCCTTCGACCTTTGGTTTGATCACTTTGAGGAACTGCTCGTGGGCCATGTTTTCGAAAACGCTGTCTTGAAGGATCATGGCACCGTTGATTACGCCCCCGACGGCGGGCATGGTGCGGCTGATCTCTCGGTAGCAGGCCCAAAGGGACCTTCGGCTTGTAATATCCCTGTCTTTTGTTAGATGATGAGGTAAAGGGAGAAGGGAATTTTACTTACAGCTGCAATGTTCTGACTGTAGCTCCTTGCTGCGCCATTGCCTCAATGAAATTTAGGTTAACTTTTGGAGACCGACTACTCATGACAAAGTACTTGGCTCCATGAGAAACCATCCATTGACACAAGGACTGACCCAGCTCGCCAGCCAGACCGACGAAGAAATATGTTCGGTCCGGTCTGAAGATGATGCCGGAATCAATCGGCTGAACTTTGACGGGAAGAGATTCGATCGACCAGTCAACCACGCTTAGAGGCTCAGACACGGAATGTTCGGAGACTTTGCTGAGAGGAATGGTGATAGACTCTGCAGGATGTGTGGAGGTCTCAATGGCCTGCTGAAGAAGCTGACTGATCATGTCGCAGAAACGGGGATGAGGATCAGTGATATCATTGTTAAGAAGCGAGCTTCGCTTGATGTGGACGCATTGAGATGGAAGACACTTATCGATCAGTTCGGATAAAGCATCCGTTTCAGCACCCTGGGAAAGATCAGCGTAGACGGAGACATCTGCAGGAAGAAGCTGCTTCAATTTGTGCTGCGAAAGCCTGGGGTGGATATAGAAGCTGTCTGGAGTATCCATGTTGTCCTGACTGGTGACGAAAACAGTCTTGACGCCCAATTGTTTAGCCCCATGCAGAAGATAAAACCTGGAACCCTCGTCTGCCTCCCTCACCAGAAGCACCCCGTTATCTGGCACAGAGCTCAGAACCGCCTTCGCCAAGATATTGGCAGCGATGGAGGTAAGGAAGGATGAAGAGCTAGGACCCATGGCATGACCTGCGACTGGTACACACCACTTTGATGGCAGCACTGCTGGGGACTGGAATGAGGATGAAAGCGCGACGACTGTTTCGTAGGAAGCGGTCACACCATAGATGAGACGGAGGAAACCAGCACTTCCAATCTTGAGAGATTGGAATGAGGAGAGAGTGCTGCGAACTGTGACGGATTCCGACGATGGGGCGTCGGCAATTTGCAGCGGCGAGACTTCTTGGACATCAAATGTTGCTCCATTCTGGATCATCTGTATAGTCGCCTCTCTGGGGTCGACCTCTTTAGTTATGGCGCGTCTCTGAGAGTTGTAACGCTGATTCTTTTCGGTGCTGGGCAAGAGCCTTGGGATGAGCGCGCGTCGATCGTGCATAACAACCTCAGGCTCTGAGGACCAGAGAAGGGCTTCCTTCCCAGATCGCCATTGCCTCAGAAGATAGTGTCTAATCAGCGATTCAGACAGAAGCTTGGTGGTTGACTCATCGATGGATTCAATGTCGAGTAGTTGAAGATTGATATTCGGATTTTCAGTCTTGACTGTCCGCCCGATTCCCACCAGCATCATGGAGTATGGTTCATCTGCCCTGCAGCCGCGGGAAACTAAGACCAAAGTTCCCGCTACATCGAACATCTTCTTTAAGCTGGTGAACTTCTGTGGCGTCAATGTCTTCATGAGTGGCTCGTCGAGATCAGTCAGACAGAGAATGCTAGCCCCAAGAGGTACCGCGGAGCCAGAGCCCATCAACTCTTCAAGAGTCTCAAACACCATGACCTCAGCGAACATAGAAGATAAATTAGCCATAACGTCTTCCACGAGAGTGAAGACTGGTAGTGTCGTGCCGCCGATAATGACTAAGGTGCCCAAATTATCCCCGGTCGACAATGAAAGAGGGTTGCGGAGGAGAGCAACTCGGTCGTCAATCGCCTGGGAAACGAAGACCGTCACGGGAAGAGACACACTGACATCGGGTGTCATAGTATCAATGCCCGAGAAGCCCGTTTTCCGGAGCACAGAGTCCCACTGAGGCAGTGTCAAGCAGGGACCCCACGGACGTCCAGTCTCCGCGGCAACCCACCAACCTGGGAGAGTTCCCACAGTCATTCCACTGAAGAGAAGTTCACAGTTTGTCACCTCTAAGGTGAGCAAATAACCACCAGGTTTCAGCAGCCGGCGGACATTTGCCATGGATTGCTCCATGTCGGCCGAAACGTGCAGAACATTGGCCGCAATAACGACATCGTACTGGCCTTCGGTAAATCCCTGCTCGCTTGGTGGGAATTCAGTGTTGAATGTCTTGAAGATCATACGGCTGGAATAATCCCTGAAGCGCTCCTCGGCTTCAGGGAAGAAACCACTAGACACGTCGGTGAAAGTATAGGTTCCAAAAGCTGATCCGACTTCGGGCAAAATTGTCTTTGTCGATGCGCCCGTTCCAGCTCCTATAGAAAGTCAGCTCCGTTACTAGGGGACAATGTAATAAGAAGAATCAAGACTGACCGATCTCCAAAATATGCATTCCTGGGTAGCGATGCGCAATTTGGGCGACGATGCGACTCAGCCAGCGGTTGTTCGGCCCAGCTGCCAGCCCATTTTCGTAAACCGCGAGCATCAGGCCGTCCTGGTTCATATATTCCAGCATACTGGTACCGCTTCGGACAACTTCAACTAGATGGTCGCCGACCACCTCAACGAATCGGATATCCTTGCGGCCCTCATACCTATTGCGAGCCAATCAGTCCTCTATCCGATGTGGTGCATGTGAAGAAGTCCTAGTAGAATGAAAGTCCTGCACTTACTTGCTCAACAATTTAGTGATGTCTTCTCTCTCATCATTGAGACATTCACGCGGCACCTTGGGGTGTTCGCCCCGAGAGACCATGCCAATCATCCGTTCACACCACCGCAGATAGTATCTCAAATGGGGAAGGACCTGCTCACGCTCTTCTGGGGTGATAGTCTCGGCCACATTTCGGAGATACCAGAACGCGATACGATCAATGTCCTTGTAAACCTGTGCCTCGTAAGGCGAGATTGTCTCGCCCATTCCTGCAAGCTGTCCATCAGGAACAGCAGGTCTCATCTTAAAGCTTGAGAATAGCGGCAAGTCGTCTCTAGGAGAGCCTGGAGAGAATGGAACGAGGGATGCACCTTCAATCTGGAGGCATGAGTTCTTGCCGTCTGCGGTGTACAGGTGAATATCGGCAGTCAGGCTCCCTTGGGTATTAGTCCGAATGAAGGTTTCGTATTTGAAGGACCCTTGCTTGCCCAAACCAAGAGGGCTAAAGTAGGGGTTGAATACCAGCGAGTCAAACCGAGTGGGAACGTGAAGGGACCAGATCTGGCCATCACCGGGGAAAGACCATGCAGCGAAAGCAGTTTGCAGAGCGGTGTCGAGCATGCCCGGATGGAAGGTAAGATTATCCTCCCATGCGAAGCCAGACTGGTCCTTGATTAGGCCAGTGGCATATCCGGGCTTGCGCTGAATCTGCGACACTCCATGGAAGGGCTCTGAGTAATCATAACCAATCTTAGTAAGGCACCGGTAGAACTCGGTTTGGTTAACGGTGACCAGGTTGAAAGGATCTGATTCGTAGGTTGCAAGTGTTGCTGGGCTAGGGCTGCCCAAATCTGCAATGACCTTGCCTTTCGCGTTCAGCACTGCATTTCCATCAGTATTTGAAATAGAGTAGCATGCGAACTGGGCAGTCATGGATTGGTCGGTTGTCTCCACCACGCTTGCAGTGAAAACGACCTCAATACTAGCTCCATCATCATCGAAAGAAATTGCGCGACCAATTTCTAGATCGGCAACCTTGATGCAAGTGATATCATCCTGGGTATTGAGCTGCTTCGTCGCTTCAATGGCCATAGAGACGTAACCCGTGGCTGGGAAAACCACTTGACCCTGCAGCCGGTGCCCACTGAGCCAAGAGATCTCGCTCGGACGAAGAATATTTCTCCATTGAACCTCCTTGGTAGTGTTCGCTTCGGAACATTGAGTTCCAAGCAGTGGGTTTGGAGGGTTTTGGCGGAATTTGTGGTAATTAGATACGCGGGACCCAGTCCAGTATTCGCGTTGATGGTCGAAGGGATATGACGGCAAGGTACTGAGTACCTGCCGGTTCCCCTCGAAGCCGGACAGGAGCTTGTCGACCGTGTCGAACCGAATGCTACCGGACCCAAGATGCATCCAAATGAAACCAAAAGTTGCGGATAGTTGGTCAACGTCGTTTTTGGCTCGAGACAGCAGACCAGTGTAGGGGGCTTCACATCCAAACTCTTCAAGTGTAGCTGTCGCTGGACCCTTGAGTGCCGGGTGCGGACCAACCTCGATGGTCATGTCAAATGGCCCGGCCTCCGAAACAGCTTGAGCCACTGCACCGGAGAATAACACAGTGTTGCACATGTTATCAACCCAGTAACTTTCGGTGAGAATTTCCCTGGACATTTTCTGTCCCTCGGTAACACTAGAGAACCATACGGGACCTGTCTGGTTATTTGGCTGTATTCCGCATGACTTCATGGACTCCAGATAGGGCTCTGCACAGGGTAGCATATGCGCCGAGTGATAGGCAGTGTCAACCTTCAGCTTCCGTGCAAATTTCTGCGCAGTCTTCAGTACATTAAGAACCTCATCAATGGTGCCTTCATCACCGGAAAGTGTGATACTGGAGCTAGAATTCACTGCCGCGACCTGGATACGGCCCTTGAAGCGTGGGTCGGCACAGATCTCCAGGGCTTCTGCATGCGAAGCACCAACAGCCAGCATGGCCCCCTTCTCGCCGTTCGGCGATGATGCATGCTTTGCGTGTAGGCCACGGTAGTATGCGATTCGAAGGGCATCCTCGGCAGACAAGAGACCCGCGGCGTACGCGGCTCCAATCTCACCGGACGAGTGGCCCACGACAGCTTTGAATTGAACTCCCGCAGCGCGGAGGATATCAACTAGCACAACCTGAATAGCAAGGCACAGAGGCTGTGATATTGCTGCTTCTGTGATTCGTGAAGTCTCGTCACTAGCAAGCAGCTGCTCCTTGATCGACCAGGTGGGGCGGTCCTCTGCAGGTAATCCTTGGAGAATCGAGTCGAGCCAGTTAATTTTCTGTTGGGCGGAAATTGAGGTCTCGATGAGGCACGCTCCCATTCGTGGCCACTGCGCTCCCTGTCCGGTGAACACACCAAGAATCGCAGGATTACTGATCTGGGAGCGGCGAATGCTGAGGTCCGACTCATTGGGAGAGGCATCCACCATAGCTTTCAACTGCTGGGGTAGCCCTTCCTTGCTATGGACTGGAAGATAAGTTCGGTAGGGTAGTGTTGAGCGGCGCATACTCAGAGTACTGGCCAAATCATGGAGGTTTAACGTAGGGTTGGCGGACAGATAGGTTGAGTACATGGCGAGCATATTTCGAAGGCTCTTCTCGGAAGCTGCAGAAAATACCAGTGGAGTGAAATTTGCAACCGCATGAAGTTCCGATGTGTTTTCAGAATCCTGCTCGAAACTTTCGATGATGGCGTGGGCATTGGTTCCACCAAAACCTGCCAGAATCAGCAACTATCTAACATACTAATATCGCGAGAAATCGTCTTACCAAAGCTGTTGATACTGGCCCGTTTGACCTGACCAGAAGCCAGCTTCGGCCAGGGCACGGGCTCAGTTGGGATATTTAGATGCTTGTAAAATGGCGCGACTTTGTCGCTCAATTCACTAAAGTGAAGATTAGGTGGTACGATACCATGCTTCATGGCAAGTAAGGACCCAATCAAAGAGGCCAGACCAGCAGACCCTTCAGTGTGCCCGATCACGGTCTTGATTGAACCCACAAAGAGCTCTGTGTCAGTCTTCGAGTCATTGGAAAACAATGCTGTCGAGACGGCCTCCGCCTCTTGAGGGTCACCGGCTTGCGTCCCAGTTCCGTGAGCATGGAAGAATTGAGGACGATCGCGAGGCTCATTGATGTCCAGTCCTGCTCGACGGTACGTGTCGCGAATCAGCGCCGTTTGCGCGGTATTACTCGGCATGGTAAGCCCAGTAGTACGTCCATCCTGGTTGACACCAGTCTCACGAATGATACATTCGATATGGTCTCCATCGGCGAGAGCTTGGCTCAGGGTCTTCATCACTACAGCAACGACGCCCTCGCCACGGGCATAGCCATCGGCAGCCCGATCCCACATCGCGCAACGTCCATTCGGTGACAACATTCGCAGGTTCGTCTCGGTCACATACATAGCTTGGAGGGTCAGTTGCAGCTCGGTCAATCCAAGAGGCTGTACTTACTAGGACTGAGAATCAGGTTGGTTCCGGCCGCTACGGCCAGGGAAGATTCACCGCTGCGCAGAGTCTGCACGGCTTGGTGCACGGCAACAAGACTCGACGAGCAGGCGGTATCGATGGTCATTGAAGGACCATGCCAATCAAAGACGTACGAGATCCGGTTGGACACAATACTTCGGGCTAAGCCAGTAGCCGTATAGGTCGGCAAAGTCTCGACATCGCTCGCCACCATGGTGGACCAGTCATCGCACATCATACCAACATATACAGCTGTGGACGATCCACGGAGGTTCTCCATGGGTAGACCCGCGGTGCAAAGGGAGTCATACACAGTTTCTAGGAGTAGACGCTGCTGGGGATCAACGGCATCGCTCTCCATCGGTTGTATATTGAAGAACTGCGCGTCAAACTGGGCGATGTTCTCCTCAAGAAAGTAGGACTTGGTGGCGTTCGTGGTGCCATGATGGGTTGCCTCGGGGTGGTAGAAGTGATCAACATTGAAGCGATCTAGAGGAACCTTTTTGGAAATGTCACTAGGGCTTTTCAACAGCTCCCAGAGTTTGCTGGGGGTATCGCACCCGCCTGGAAAGCGACAGGCGGTTCCGATAATGGCAATTGGTTCAGGCATAGTGGGCCTGTAGGTTATATCGATTCGTGTTGAAGAAACCGAGGAGCTATGAGAATACAAGATGATTGTTGAGGTAGATAATTGAAACCGAGGGAAGTGTGTTCATTAAATATGCTTTTTCCATTGTCATCGTGGTATACTTGTCGTCTCGTCTCGGCTTGGACTGATCTGGGGCCATATCAGCTAAGCTGATATCCCACCGAAAAATTCCGAACGCAACATGCCGAACTCCACACTCTGCACGGGCTCTAGGCTGAATCCTGCGGTACTTCAGTTTCAAAATACTATTTTCTAGTGAGTGGTACGTCTGTAGAAGATTGGAGTTGTAACAAACCTTTTGCCATTGCCATGCGAGGTTCGGATCCATCATCATGGCTGAGCCTGGGAACATCTGATTGGACCCCATGAAGGGGAATCCATAATAAAAGTTCTCTTCCGGGCCGTTTCCATTCAGCCCACCAGCGGGAAAGGGCATAGGTAGGGCTGAGCCATCGTAAGCAGGGACACGGGGAGAAAATAAGACGACTAACTAACCTGAATTTAGGACAACATCATTGTTCATAGCCTGACCCTCTGCGCCCATATTAAAACCACCCGATTGTTGAGCAAGAACAATGCTGAGAGTATCTGCCGCTGTTTTTGCCTCCGCTGATGAATTCCTTGACCTCATCCAGATACCATGCGCTCTTGTTAGCGCTGCTATGATTTGGCCCAAGTCATGACCATCCGCCAGAGCATCTGGCTGTCGCGCGAGAAAGCACAGCAACATCGTGGCTGTCAGAAACTCATGCTTCATGAAGGAGGAAGCCCGCCATCGGATCGTATAAAGCTGGCCATCTGGGCTGGTTTCCTCGTCGCATATTTGCTGGATCTCCAAAATACCCAAGGCAGCCTTTATGCAAGAACTACGCGAGTAGGAGTATGATGTGTGGCCATCGGAAAATGTGGCCGGGTCCGGGTTTAAGTACTTGCAGTGTAGCATAATCTGACCCTTGTGAAACATCAGTCTGAGGAAAAGCCGATGCATAATCACCTGCGGGGGATCGGTCACCGCCCCAGCCATGGCCTTCATGCGGAGATAGGCAGGGACCGTGGCCTCTGCATCATTCAGAATCCGGTCTAGTCGCATTACCTCGTCGTAGGTCACCGGTCGCACCGACGCGGTGAAATCAACGATCACGCCCAAGGCGCCAAAGATACGTCGCCGAGCTACCAGGTGCGAAACCGTGGTGATCTCCGTCTCCGGTCTCGACAGAGGAAGCTCGGAGCAATCCTCGTCGAAGTCCGAGTCATTCAGATTACGGGGCTCTACTGTATCACATTGCCAATCCTTGATCATACGTGGCATGCCCATTTGGGTGGATATCAGGATATCTCCCTGTAGAATGGTGGCCCAGGCCCGCCGTCTCATCTCTCCCGCAAATGGGGATATCCCTGGTAAGTGCGACGGATCCCGGTGGTAGCCCATGCGCAGAGCTACATTGACTGAGATTCCCGAAAGGATCCAGATGTCCTGGTCAGCATCCTTGCGGATGGAATACTCGATGGTCAAGTAGTGGTATAGGGTTTCAAACACGTAACGCCCGGATTTGGTGTACTCGCCTAGAATGAGGCACTGTACTATTTTTTCGCGGTATGTATCCACCAACGGATTTCGGAATCCCGGAGATGAGCTGGAGTCTGCCGCGCTAGAAGCCAGCACTGCGAGACATATCATAGAAAAGAGGAGACCAAGCCACATGACCGAGGTCTGGGATGGATTTTCCCAGAACTGTTCATACTACATTCATTATTGTTAGCACCGCGGTCTACTCATGGTGTTTAGCGAAGCCGGTCGCATACCTCTCGTGAAAATTGACCACTGTGTAGACAGGCTGAAGCGTTACGATGCCCTATATTAGCCGAGGCTCAAATATTGCAGATCAGGGGCTTACATGGCGCCAAGTCCAACCGATTGAAGTACTGGGAGATATAACGATCGACGGCGGGTCGATCGGGCAGAGCTGCCAAGATATCTTCTTTACTCGCTGATTTACATCCATACAGCAGGAAAGTATGCAGCATATCAGGTTTTTCCATGTTCCCATGGTCTTCCCGTTCAAGCTGCTCCTTCAGGTCGGCGATCCCATCCAGGATGGCAGCCCAGTGGGTTCCTCCGACGTACTGGGTATCCGAAGAGCTAAACCATACATTTCCGCTGTCGGATTGAGCTGGAGAGTCTTCAGAATTTGTGGCCCCTTCCGATGAGCCCTCTTCGGGGCGATCTTGTTGAACCGACGTAACTGGATGCTGGGCCGGCCGGTCTTGGCCATCGGAGGTGGTCTTCTGCATCAGCGAAACAACAATCTGCTCCAACTGGCCCAAGCGGTCCTGAACGGTTGCTTGGGGTCGACCCTTATGGGTCTCATGTGGCCCAGGCGCCCGTCGGCGCTGGGCTGGGGCTTGATTGCTGGGATAGGCACACGACAGCGCCAATCCACGAGCGGTGCATGTCGAACAGGGCTCCTTGCGATCGCATCGGAGCCTATCGGAGAATTTAGTCAGATTTTATTCGGAGTGTTGAAGATCTTTGGTACTTACTTCCTCCGACGACATAGATTACAGGAGAGCTGGGGTTTGCTCCGACGATTGATGGAAGCTGGTTGGAGGTTGGGTTCGTCCGCGGGCGGAGGGTCCATCGTGGCTGTCAGGAATATGCGGGTGCACGTTTTCCAGATAAGGACTGTGTGGTATTATATGCGATATACTAGGTCAGAGCACTTGTCTAACACATAGGTCATGTAGACTAGACGACGTTCTCCATCATGAGTGGGGTGGGGTGAGTGGAGTATGTTTTCGTAGACCACGCTTGTATCGCCACATAGACGATAGAAACATAGGCAGAACCAATAGAGCTTTCAGGGGTAGTGAGCGTGCATTAGTACGAAGAATGGTGGTAGATGAGATGTAGTCGGATTATCTGATGGTGATTGATCGGAAGTAAACGCTCATCCGCTAGCCTCTAACCTGATTAGGCAAGGTGCGAGGTGATGCGGGAAGGATCCGTGGATCAACAGCTCTCTGACCAATCGGATGAACATGTTCCTCCGTGCATTCATCCGTCTTCTCCGCTTCAGCTTCTCCTTCGATTCCTCCATCCATTATTCCTCCATCGTTTCAATCTATATATGAGTCCCCAATCTCCGTCTATTCGTCCGCTCCGTTGCTCGTTTGGCTATTATCAAAACAACCAAGTTGAGCAGCCATGAACCCTCCGAACCGGGAGCCTGGCTTCAAGCCAGCCGGCTCGGCCATTACAACACGGAGGAAAGGACGTGTAGTTAACTCCCCCGTGGACATTAATCCCCAAGAAATCCCATCACCCACCTCCTTTTGCGACTAGTGGGGGCATTCTCCATCAGTACAAAGGCACAAAGCTCGTTCTTAGCCCACAATTTCTCTTCGTTCAACTATCGAGTACAGCTCGCACAATGATGAAGCTCTCTAGCAATGACGAGACGGAAGTCAACCTCGCGACAGATGAGGAGTCAGCTAAGCCGACGCATAAACTTGAGGACGATGTGGTCGACTGGGACGGCCCAGATGACCCCAAGAACCCCCTCAACTGGCCTGGCACCAAGAGTTTTGGTCATGTCGTGATTGTGGCCGTCTTATCGATGGTCGTGTAAGTGAGCCCTCATGAGAGACAAAGCAACCGACCACCGACCATGCTAACCCAAGCTACTAGCAACATCGCCTCGACCATGGTCGCTCCGGCGATGGAAGGCGTCTCCAAGGACCTGGAGATCACTAATATGACCCTAGCAACTTTGGCCGTCAGTATTTACCTGCTGGGATTTGCATTGGGTCCCCTTGTCATCTCCTCGCTCTCCGAGATGTACGGACGTCTCATCGTCTATCACATATGCAATTCTATCTTCGTCATTTTCGTTGTGGCCTGCGCCCTAAGTAAGACTTCCGCTCAGTTTATGATCTTCCGGTTCATAACTGGCTGCGCGGGAGCGGCGCCACTTTCCCTTGGCGGCGGAACGATCGCCGATGTTATCCCGATCGAGAAGCGCGGTGCAGCAGCGGCCTTATTTGGCCTGGGTCCCCTTTTAGGACCGGTATGTAACTAACTCTAATCCACTACCTAATCAAACTATACTAACTGATATAGGTTCTGGGACCAGTAATTGGGGGCTTCGTTGCCGAAGGAAAGGACTGGCGATGGACCTTTTGGGTGGTCGCGATTCTCGTGAGTGATCGTATCTTGCTCTCGGCTTCTATCCACAATTCTAATACTATCTATAAAATTCTAATACTATCTATAACAGGGAGGAGCAGCTGGTATCGGCGCGTTCATCTTCATGCGCGAAACACATCCCAACACTCTGTTGGAACGCAAAGCCGTATACTTGCGGCGCGCAACCGGGAACCCGCACCTCCGATCGAAACTTGATCGCGGCCTCACAAAGCAGCAGATCATTGTCGCTGCCCTCGTACGACCCACTAAACTCTTGATATTCTCACCGATTGTCCTCGTCTTGTCTATCTACGTGGCTCTTATTTTCGGCCTTCTATACCTCCTCTTTGCCACCTTCAGCATGGTCTTCGAGGGCCAGTATGGATTTAGCACCGGCATTTCTGGCCTGGCATACCTAGGACTAGGCCTTGGCGAATTGTTAGGGTTAATCACATTTGGAATCCTGAGCGACCGGCTCTTGAAGGCGAAAATGGCAGCGGATAATGTCCAGGAGTCTAAGCCCGAATACCGACTGGTCCTAATGATGTGGTTCCCGCCAGTCATTGGACCTGGGTTGTTCATCTACGGTTGGTCCGCATATTACCAGGTGCATTGGATGGTTCCGATCTTTGGGACGTTTATTGTTGGGTTTGGAGCCTTCTTCGTGATCATGCCCTCCCAGCTGTACCTGGTGGATCTGTTCGGGTCGGAAGCAGCGGCATCTGCACTAGGCGCCAACATTCTCCTCCGCTCAATGTTCGGGGCCTTTTTGCCCCTTGCTGGGTCGCATATGTACTCGGCGCTTAACTACGGATGGGGTAACACGCTATTAGGATTCCTAGCACTGGCATTTGCGCCTGTGCCGATTTTGTTCTATCGCTATGGAGAATGGCTGCGGAGTCGGACGACAGTCACTCTGTGAACTTTTTGCAAGATATTTATAGCTCATTACTATTTATAGATATGCCTAAACTATAGCTAATAATACGATTTGCTTTTTTTGCTCGTAACAAGATGAAGTAATTGCTCATTATGGTAGACACAAATTACATAACCTGATCAGCGCTCAATGTCACTTAAGCTCGTTTTGGAAGAAGGAGCAATCTCCCAGGACTGGCGTTCTGCAGCCAAGTGGGTGGTGGACAAAACACGAGGGGCGCTGTACTTTGTACATTCGTCCGACGCTAGTACTCCATCTCCGCGGTATCACTACCAACACCTACTGGCTCTCAGTACGAAATGCGGAGTACGAGAGTAATTACGCCCTCGGATGTAAGATCTCGAATTAAGCTGTCGGCATCCGTCTGCCGCGTCGTTGCCAAGGTATTGCAGAATCTCATTCTGTCAGGCCACCTTGCACATTTATATACACATTTACACGTGGCCTGCAGAAGGCGCATGGCATGACAGCCATGCTCATGGGCTTTCCGTGTCAGCCTTATTGGCCCGAATACCACGCATCCATTGGTTATACCCGCGTGAGCCAGGGGTATATTATGTGAGATCACACCAGATCGGGTGTGAGGTGCTTCACTTCACCTATCGGAACAATGTCGTATCTGCTAGACATTTGGCTCCCGGAGAACCGAAGGCGCCCGGCCCCAACATCGATACCAAGCTAGAAATCTGCATAAGTGGCATCGTGTCAGATTATCGGGGCGTTAGTGCTGCTATTTTCTACTTTTAATGCAAAGCCTTCTCCCCTTGCTGCATTCAATACGGAGTACATATTCTCAGCAAATGATATAATGCTCTGCTCCACCCGTTTAGTCAATTTATGCAATGGGAAGACGGAAAATAACTGACATCCACTCTGCAGGATTCCTTGGCATATTATGCCAAGCAATGCTCATTAAAGGGTAATTCTTTCACCACTCCTGCGTAAGCCGCCCACAGCTGAAGGCTGTGAAATGATTATAGGTATGTGCTCAATTGATCCACCTGCCCAACCTTCCAACCTTCCAAGATTGGGGGCCCTGGGGATGTGGCATGCTTAGTAAAGAACCAGGCCTGCCGGGCCGGGCCGCTGGTGGATTCTTTGAGGGTTCCAAAGGTTGCCGAATATGTTTAATACATCAAATCGTTGTTCAAGACATACCTAACAGCTCCATGTGCACAAGAGAGCTCCTGCAAAAAGTTTTTGGACTCAGTTGCTGCACGCGATCTGACGTGTGATCGCATCTGCAGCCAAATTAGCCCCAGTCAGAAAGATTTCAACAGCGCCTTGGCAATCCGGTATTGGTGTGGTCATCGAATCGAGCTTGATGACACGATACAAAGGCGCTCGGTCCTAGACTCGCTACTAATTCCCACCAGTAGTCCCAGCTTTATAGGGTCGGATGTTAGATCCGCTCTTATCTGGGGTCCTAAGGGTATTGTCCACTTTCAATCCAAACTTATATAGACATGGACCGGGTCTGCTCCACCAACGCCGAAAATCCTTGCTTTTCAGTCAATGCCAATCTTTGCCAAGTCCTCAAATCACACATTGCTCCGTCACATCTGAACGACGATCAGAGCAGCCAAGCATTGGCATTGTGCGCTGACCAGCCTTACCAGCCCTACGGTCAAAATGTCAGTCTCCGCCAAGCCTACCGCGCAGTCGTACCGCACATCATGCGATCGATGTCGACTGCAGAAACTGCGATGTGTGCCATTGTCTGACGGCGACTTGCTGAACGCGTGTCAACGGTGCACACGCGCCCGGGTACCCTGTGTGTTCAGTCGACGAGCCCGCAGTGGGCGACAGCCCAAGAAGCTCGAAAGGACGGAAGAGACTCCCCACATGTCCTCATCAGGATCAAACGCATCGACGCCGCCATTGGAATTTCCCAGCTTTCCTGTGCCGCGGGACGATCTTTTACCGTCGATCGCCCGTGTGGATCCCATGACCGACCCGCACGACCTAGCCGATCCACCGCTAGACCCGATGCTGGCTGAAATATTATTCCACACGCCGGGAGATAACACCGTCATCCCCGTTCATATGCCATTCCCTGTTCGAAAGGTAGAATGGTGGTGTTCTCCTGAGTCGCTGAGCCCAGAGCTTGATCTTACAAAATCAAGCGACGCGTTAGACCAAACATACTTCAATCAAACCGAGACAAACCAGACAACAGAAATACTCAGTATACAAAACACAAACAGCACAATCCCCGATAACCTAAGCGCCTCGGACCAAGCCCCATCCACCCAAGTCCAGGGCCTCTCCTCAATCCTCGTCGCAATGACAAACTACACATGTGACCTCCACCGATACCGCGCAGCAAATATCGACACAAAACACAGCAGCAGCATATACAACTACCCGATTGGCGGAGCAACCTATCTTGCCCAATGGTTACGAGAAATTGTATCTCGACAACAATGGACGGGAAACCAGTTTCCCAGCCTTAACGCCAGTAACGATGACCCTGTGGACACTCCCACCCTCCTGATCATGATGTCATGCTATATGTCGCTAGTAAATATCTACGACACAGTTTTCTCCGACCTACGCCAGCTACTAGCTATACTGCCAGACTCGACATCGTCAAAATCATCCCGGGCTGAGCTACGATGGGATCTACGGCTAGGTGACCTGCCTCTAACAAACGAGGGGTACGTGCGGATTCTTAATGCCGTGCAGATATTGCTGGATGCGTTGGATGCTATTGAGAATGATCTCGGTATGTGACTAACATTCTTGCAATGGACGACTCATAGCTAACGGGTTATAGAACATGTTCAAAACTCCAACGACAGCATTGTAGAGTCGTTGTTTAGAAAAAGTGTCAGCGCTGGTGCGGCAGCGGAAGGGGGGCTAAGTGGGGGATTAAGGGCGAAGGTTGAAGAGCTTCAGGGGGTTTTAAAGCAAAATCTAAATCTGTAGAGGGAAATATACATCTCTATATATAATGGAATGAATTCAATGCGTCTACCAAATCTTATTAGAACCCTGCAGTAGGAAGCGACTTTTCTAGATTATAGTCACTATTTATATTGGCAGTGTTTGAAACGATAGTCGTGCCTTGACTGAATTGCGAGTTCAGAATTTGTTTACGATTTTAACCGCCCTGCTGTGGGCTTGCCCAGGTGGAAATGGGCCAAGTGATTTTCTTTGTGACTAGGCGTCTTTCAATATTATCTTGACGCTCTAGCCAATGAAAAATTTCCAAGCTTGGAAGTTAGCACTATCTTCAGTTTGTGCAATCTATCCTTTTAGGCTGCCCGCTAATGTTAGCTCGATAAAGTGTGGTTCTGCCCCGCAGAGGACCTCCAGGCCATTTCTATTTTCTACACGTATGGAAATATCTTCTGACGTTTCTATCTTATTTGCAATATCAACCCCGAGATTAGGGAGAGTGTAGCCCTTGGTCCAGATCTGGTTTAATCATTGTCAGTTGTGTCCACTTCATCGCCCATACTCTTCCCTACCGTCCAGGTTGGCCTAACCATTGTAGCATCCTGAGTAGCCTCCAAAATGGCAGAAATCCCGACACGAATAAATGGCCTCCGTCCAACCATTGAAGATTTGATGCGCATCGGCGGAACTCCAGGGCTCTCGCTCGCAGTCATATCGAACGGAGAACCGGTCTACGAGGGAAACTTTGGCGCCCGAGATACAGAGGCCGGTCTACCCGTCACCAATGAAACGATCTTTCCTATTTGTTCGTTGACCAAGGCCTTGACTGCTTCCGCGATGGCAATTCTTGTCGACGAGGATAAACTCACCTGGGACACACTGGTGAAGGACGTTCTTCCATCCTTCAATTCCAGAGACGAGACGATTCAGAATCACTTGACTATTACGGATATCCTATCTCATCGATCGGGCATGGCCTGGGCCTCTAATTTGGTTATCGGGACCGAGAACAACATTCTCATTTCAGGAAAGGATGGACTCAAATACATAAATTCACAGCCGCGCCTTCTTCCGTTCCGGGCAAAAATGTCCTATAACAATCTTACATATAACCTTGCTGGTTATGTCATCGAGGAAGTAAGTGGCGTTCCATGGTTCGAGTTTGTCCAGAGCCGCATTCTCGACCCCCTCGGCCTAGATCGAACTTACCTTAGGCCTCCACAATCGGGTGTCTCAGAGGTCACTCAGTGCTATAATGCACTTGATGATGCCTCTACTGTCCCGATTCCTGGCCCTAAGGCAGGCCAAGATTGGTATTCCGGACCAAGTGGTGGCGCGTGGTCCTGCGTTCGTGACCTTTCAAAGTTATACAAAACCTTCGCTGCTAGCGTTCAAGATCAGTTTACCACTGGAAAGGGAGCGACCGAAGGCTCTCCCTTTAAACAGGTTTTGCATCTCACTTCCGCTAAAATTCCTATGGATCAACCCTCAAGGAATGAGCTATCATATGCACTCGGATGGGGTAGAGCTCAGCTTCCTAACCGGCTAGGTCAGATCGGAATCAATCATAGCCTGATGCCTGGCGGGATGCCTATTGTTGGGAAAGGCGTTCCCTCACAGCTTGTCCTATTCCACCAGGGTAGCCTTCCTGGCGCCCTCTCAATTGTGATTCTACTTCCGGACACTGATAGTATTATCATTGTTTTGTCGAACTCGTTAGCCCTAAATGATGTTCCTGACTGGGTTGGCCAACTCGTTCTTGAAGAGCTCCTTGAGGTCCCGAAATCCGAAAGAAATGACTACATTAAAGCAGCTCATTCCTCGGTCGCTGAAAATTTGAAGTGGTATCCTGCGCTGGTAGGGGGGCTAGCCTCGGCTCGGAAGAATGGAACACCACCTAGAGCACTTGAGATGTATACTGGGACTTACCGGGATAACATTGACGTCTTCAAGATTGTTGTGGATTTAGAAGACAACCAGCTCTACTGGAGGCTGCAAGGGCTTGATTCGGAGAAGTTTCCACTTGAACACTATGAAGATGACACCTTCACATGGCTACTTCCACGCAACGAGTTATCTAGACGTGGCCGCTGGGTGGGTTCGGACCAAGGGCCAGCTTTCTGGAAAGCGACGTTCCAATGCAGCGACGGTGGGCGCGTTGATAAGTTATATTGGGCACACGATATCGGCGTCCCGCCAGTGGAATTGACGAAAGAGGAAAGCAACAAGCCATGACCGTATCTCATGTTGTTGCATCAACGTCATGCTCTGTTAGTCACTAGCAGCCGTGCCAGCAAGGATTTTGGAGACGGTGAATTCAATGTTTCTCTAAGTTTGAAAAGTCAACGCCCTTGGTCGATTAAAAACCTACTGGATTGCGCTTTGCGCAGAACTCCTGAGTCTCATTTTGGTACAATTAGATTGCAAATATCAACGGCACTGATCTTTTGTAAAAAGTAAACATTTATTTACACCTAGAAAATCTCGAGCGTAGTAATCACATCCTTTAACCTGGAACTCGAGGGAAATCCAACCAAAGTAGCGTCATTGCTCTCTTGGTTGTCCTTCTCCCATCGTATATTTGCTTCTATGTACTGCTCCAATAATACTAGCCGCTTTGTCCAAATCGCTTTCGAAAAAGCTTGAGTCTCTCTAATTGATGCTTGCAGCTCTAGAATATCCTTGGAAGATCAGATAAAGCAGCAGACTGCTTTTTAGCTGTTATATAGAAATTAAGAGAATTTAATAAATTAGTGATAGAGATATATATATTTCTTGGGTTCAGTGATGTATTTTTCAATACGACAATAATGCAAGCTTTTAATCTGTTCGAAACTGATATATACTTCCAAAGGAGCCTATCAATGGCTATCGGCTAATAAAAGAATATTCAAAATACGTTGGTTGTTGAGATATAAGTGTATAAGTGTAGCGTATATCGCATTTACTATGGTGTTTTGGACTGCGCAGCTCGCATGTGAAATACGTTATTTATCACTATCCGCTAACTATGCCCCTTCGTAACGTATTTCACTACCGAGCTGCGCACACCACCGAGCTGCGCACCCCACCCAAAACGCGTCCCTAAATTTGCACTTAATCAATTCAACCACCCACCATGCCACCAATTCGCTCTCAAAGCTCTCGAAATTCAATAGAGCAAGAAGGCAGGATCTTATTAGCTACTCAGGCTATTCAGAAACAAGAAATAAGCTCTGTTCGTGAAGCAGCACGCCGATTTAACGTACCCGAATCGACACTCCGGACACGCCTACGTGGCGTTCAACACCGCGCGACTTCTCGTGCTAATTCTCATAAACTGACACAAATTGAAGAGGATTCTCTTCAAAAATGGATTCTCTCTATGGATTCTCGGGGATCAGCACCTCGGCCTTCTATGGTTCGAGAAATGGCGAATCTTCTTCTCGAAAAGCGCGGAACTACCCCGGTCCTTTCAGTCGGCGAAAATTGGGTTACAAAATTTGTGAAAAGGAACCCTCTCCTCTCCTCCCGATTCTCGAGACGCTATAATTATGAACGTGCGAAGTGCGAAGACCTAAAGATTATTTAGGAGTGGTTTGATCTTGTTCAAAATACCATCCTTCAATTTGGAATCGACCCCGATGACGTTTATAACTTTGATGAGACTGGTTTCGCAATGGGGTTAATCGCTACTGCGAAGGTGATAAGAAGGAGCGAATTCTACGGTCGGCGCTCGCTTTTACAACCTGGAAATCGCGAATGGGTGACTACTATTGAGTGTGCAAATGCATCGGGTTGGGCCCTCCCTCCGTGTATTATTTTTAAAGGCAAAGTCTACTTGGAATCATGGTTCGAAGGCCTACCAAACGACTGGCGAATTGAAGTTAGTCCTAATGGTTGGACTTCAGATGAAATTGGACTTCGCTGGCTTGAAAAGCTCTTTATTCCTAGCACTTCTCTTCGTACGAAGGGGAGGTATAGGCTGCTAGTTCTTGACGGACACGGAAGCCATTTGACCCCGAAATTCGATGAAATCTGCGAGCAAAATAGGATAATACCTATCTGTATGCCTCCGCACTCCTCTCACCTTTTACAGCCTCTTGATATCGGCTGCTTTGCTGTGTTAAAGCGATCATATGGTCGGTTAGTGGAGATGAAAATGAGACGCCAAGTTAATCATATTGATAAACTTGATTTCCTCGATTTATACCCACTCGTACGAATCGAAGCTTTTAAATCGGAGACTATTAAGAATAGCTTCGGAGCAGCTGGTTTAGTCCCTTTTTCACCAGAAAGAGTGATCTCGAAGCTGAATATTCAACTTCGAACCCCAACACCCCCTCCTAGTAGGGGGAGCGATTTAAGCCGGAATTTCACACCAAAAACACCTGCTACAGAGAAAGAACTACGTCGACAGGCTTCGTCAATCAAAGCTTTACTTCGTACGAGGTCTCGAAGCCCGCCTAGCCCGTCAGATCGTGCATTAAACCAGCTTGTGAAAGGCTTCCGTCTCACAATGCAAAGCGCTATTTTATTAGCGAAGGAAAACCAGGAATTACGCGCTGAAAATGAGAAGCAGAAGCAAAAGCGGACTAGATCCCGAAGGCATATTGCTTCTGAAGAGGGCCTTTCAATTGAAGAAGCCTCTGCATTAATTTTGCAGCAACAGGGAGCAAGTGAAGCACCTCCCCCCGGCCCTGGCACCTCTAGAGAATCGGCTATTCAGCCACGTACTCGGCCTCCCCGGGGGTGTGGAATATGCAGATTACCAGGGCATCGAAGGGAAACATGTCCAAATAGACCAATTAATTAGTTGAATTAATTTAATGTGTTTTGGTTGAGATAAATGC